CTTAGATTATTTAGATTGGGTTTCCACTTTCTCCAAAATCTAATGATTTTCATTACCATCCAGATTCTAAAACCTATGTTTCTTTTTTTTTTTTTTTTCTTTTTCTAGTCGCTCCTGGGCTACCCACCACCAGTTCCTACCCTCATTGTCTCTCATCTCAATGCTTAGTAATGGTCTATGAATCAGTCTCAGTGCTGGTTTTATCTCAATTCCTTGACTTAGTTAGCTAAGGATTCTGAGTAGCTAAAGAATCCTAAGCAAATCCTTTAATATTACTGTCTCCGTTTCCTCATCTGTCAACTAGAGATAATAAATGAATATATCTGCCTCATAGGTTGTGGGGATCATGTGAGCTACTGAGTTGAAACACTGACTATACTATATGGCACAGAGTAGAAGTTCAGTAAAGGCTTGGCATTAACATTAGCACTCAACTCCTACCCCCCATTCTGTTCATTAGAGCTGTCTAAAAAAAATAAAATAAAATAACTGCCAGGCATGGTGGCTCATACCTGTAATCTCAGTGCTCTGAGGCCAGGAGTTTGACACCAGCCTGGGCAACACAGCAAGAACCTGTCTCTACAAGAAATAATAATAATAATAAAATGCTGGGTGTGGCAGCATGAGCCTGTAGTGCCAGTTACTTGGGAGGCTGAGGCAGGAGGATCACTGAGCCCAGGAATTTGAGCCTGCAGTTAGCTATGATTGTGCCACTGCGCTCCAACCTGGGTGACGGAGCAAGACCCTGTGTCTTTTTGTTTTTGTTTTTGTTTTTGAGGGAAAAAGAGAAAAAGAAGGGGAAAAAAAGAAAAAGAGGGAAAAGGGAATATTACTTTATTCCTAGAATGGGTTTCGATAATGGCCAATCAATATTTTGAGTGTTTAAAGTGGTTAATGCATATTTTATGTCTTTAAAATGGAGACCTCTATTGTGTTTATTTGTTCTGGCTCTGAGTTCAAGTCCTGGATATCGTTATCAATTTGTTGTCTCGTTGAATCTAAATCTCCTTATGTGTCTTATGTATCTGGGTGTTAAGATCTCTTATTATTACATTAATCCTTTTACCCTTGTATCCTTGTAGCTTTGAAATCTATTTTGTCAAATGTGAAAATTGCAACTCCTGCTTTTTATTTATTTATTTTTGCTCTCCATTTGGTTGGTACGTTTTTTTTTTTCCAACCCTTTATTTTGAGTCTATGTATATCTTTGGATATACCGTTAGATTTTGTCTGTATCTTTTGATTGGGAGATTTGGTCGATTTAAATTTAGGGTTGCTGCCATTTGATATTAACTGGCTATTTTGTCCTTTCATTGATAAAAATTCTTCTTTATGTTAATGCTCTTTACTTTTTGGTGTATTTTTAGAAAGGGTCATACTGGTTGTTCCTTTCTGTGTATAATGCTTCTTTTAGAAGTTCTTGTAAAGCAGGCCTGGTGGTAATAAACTCTCTGAGTACTTGCTTGTTCCTAAAAGATTTTATTTTTCCTTCAAATGTAAAGCTTAAATTGGCAGGATATGAAATTCTGGGCTGAAAGTTCTGTTGATTAAGTATATTGAATATTGGCCCCCACTCTCTTCTAGCTTGTAGGGCTTCCGTTGAGAGATCTGCTGTAAGCCTAATAGGCTTACCTTTATGGGTAACTTGATCTTTCTCTCTGGCTGCCCTTAATATTTTCTCCTTCATTTCGATCTTGGTGAATCTAACGATTATGTGCTTTGGAGTTGGTCTTCTTGAGGAATATCTTTGTGGTGTTCTCTGTATTGCCTGGGGTTGAATAGTGTCCTGCTTTGCTAAATTAGGAAAATTTTCCTGGATAATGTCCTGGAGAGTATTTTCCAGCTTGAATTCATTCTCTCCGTCACATTCAGGTACACCAATCAAGTGTATATTAGGTCTTTTCACATAGTCCCATATTGCTTGGAAACTTTGCTCATTCCTTTTTATCCTTTTTTCTCTATTCTTGTCTTGTCGTTTTGTTTCATTAAGTTGGTCTTCGACCTCTGATACCCTTTCTTCTGCTTGATCCATTCGGCTGTTTAAGCTTGTACATATTTCACTAAGTTCTCGTGTTGTATTTTTCAACTCCATAAGTTCATTTGTATTCCTCTCTATATTGTCTATTCTTTTCAACATTTCATCTAACCTTTTTTCCAAGTTCTTAGTTTCTTTACATTGGGTTAGAACGAGTTCCTTTAACTCCCAGAAGTTTCTTATCATCCACCTTTTAAAGCCAACTTCAGATAATGGAACACAGTCCTTTTCCATCAGGGCTTGTTCCATTACTGATGAGTCCTTTTCCATCAGGGCTTGTTCGGTTGCTGATGATTCCTTTTCCATCAGGGCTTGTTCCGTTGCTGATGGGTTCTGATTTTGAGTATACTCGGCCTTCTTAGGCTGTTTTCTTCCCTTCATTGTAGATGAACCGCCTCTCTAATTAGGTTTCTGAGTCGATGTCTGACTTATTGATTCCCAGTGCTGGGATCCGAGCAACCCACTGTGGCGGCCTAAATAGCAGCGATAAGACTGATGGTGCTCTTCTGCCCGGGAATCTCTGGTCTGGCTTCCCTCTTGAGTCCGCAACAAGTGGCTCTGACTTCCCGGAGCTCCAAACTCCAGTCAGTAGGGGAAGCAGTCCCGTTGGCTCTGCATGAAGAGCTGCTGTGCCGAGACGCCAGCAAAACCGCTGCGGCGGCCACAAGAGTCGCGCTGGCCACCCGTGGGGCTCCTCCACTGGGAATCGGCTAATCGGTGAGTGACGAAAATTTGTCTAAAGATGTGGCGTCCTCTCGTTCTCTGAGCTTTCACTGGTAGCTACAATCCTGAGCTGTTAGTGGTCGGCCATCTTGGATCCATCCTCAACTCTATGTTTCTTATCTCAGACATTGCAGTCTTGTTAGCAATCACTGTTGGGAGCTAGTGTGTTCATTTGGAAGTAAGAAGACACTCTGGCTTTTAGAGCTGCCTGAGTTCTTCCACTTGTTCTTTCTCATCTATGTGGGCTGACTTTCCTTTAACCTTTAAAGTTGCTGTCCTTTGGATGGGGATTTTTGCTTTTATATTCTTTGATGCCCTTGAAGGTTTAGCTATAAGTTTGGTTCAATCAACTAGCTTTATTTCTTGATGATTTCAGGCAGGCATGGCTCAGCTCAGCACTCCTGGGCTATGTGCTCTAACCCTGAGGTCCTGGGACCAGGCCCAGAACCTTGTTCTTTGGCCTCTTGAGATTCAGCCCCTGCTTCACCAGAGGGGCCAAGGTGTTCCTGGTTCACTAGAACAATACTCTCATGGTTGGGGTGGGGGTGCTGCCAGCAAAAGAGTAGTGGCAGTGGGGTCTGCTCTCACATGCATGTACTGGCAGCAGTGGGCATGGTGGGGTACACACTCACATACATGCTGGTGGTGGCAGGGCAGCAGGGTAGCATATTCCATGCACCTGTACATCAGGAATGGTAGTGTGGCAGGGTACATGCACCTGTGTGGGCCAGTGGAGATAGGGGAGCAGTGGTGAGGTCTTCACGCATGTGTGCACACCAGTGGTGGCAAGGCAGAGAGGTCTGTGTGTGCATGCCAGCAAAGCAGTTGGTGCTTTGCTGCAAGCAGGTGCATACTGCTGTGAGGCCAGCAGCAGAAGCTCTCTGGTGGTTTGTTGGGGTGAGCCAGTGAAAGAGCTATGGCAGTGGCCTCTGAGAATTGCCTCAGTTGAGCATCTGAGGCTGTGCTGTGAGCAGATATGGACAGACAGGGATCCTGGGAGAAGCCAGCAGACATGAGGGTGCTCAGATCAGGCTAGCCCCATTCAACTAGCAAGGTAACCTTGTTCTGTCCAGGTCTGATAGTCAACAAAGTGGTCAAAGCCACCTAGAGGAACATGGCAAGCCTTGGGAAATGGATATTCCTAACCATGCTCCACTGTAGCTCTTCTCACACCAAACCTTCTGGCTTACACAGAAGCTGGAGTCCTGTCCCTGCCAACTCTGTAAGCAGCTCTCTCTGCCAACTCAAATGTCTGTGTGGATCACGGGGTCTCCTGTAACTAGGATTCCAGAGGTTCACGGTGAGAGCAGGCCACTTCATGCCTATTGAACTCACCCTTTCCCTAGAAGCCACTGAGGACCAGGAACAGGTCCTGGTGCTTGGCAACCCTGTGTTGGGTTCACAGCTTCTTTCCCCCTTCAGCCCAGGGTCTGCATTCTCCCTCCATCCACTTTCAATGCCTTCTTTCCAGTGATCTGCTCAAAGTATGCTGCTCGTCTTGATGGTATTATCTCTTGGCAGGAGAAGCTCTTCCTGGCTGTATCTAGTCAAACATCTTGTCTCTCCTCCCAAAAATAAGTTTACTTGTATATACTTTTGGCTTTATTTCCATTTCCTGGGCATCCTAGCATCCTCTCCAGTGATCTCTCAGTATCTGCCTGTCACAGGGTGACTATGGGTGCGGCAGAGTCACTTAGGGCTTCCTGGAGGCCAGGTGTGGTGGCTCACACCTGTAATCCCAGCACTTTGGGAGGCCAAGGCGGATGGATCACGAGGTCAAGAGATCGAGACCATCCTGGTCAACACGATGAAATCCGGTCTTTACTAAAAATACAAAAATTTAGCTGGGCATGGTGGCACATGCCTGTAATCCCAGCTACTCAGGAGGCTGAGGCAGGAGAATTGCCTGAACCCAGGAGGCAGAGGTTGCGGTGAGCCGAGATCGCGCCATTGCACTCAAGCCTGGGTAACGAGAGCAAAACTCCGTCTCAAAAAAAAAAAAAAAAAAAAAAAGGGCTTCCTGGAGCCGAGGACATGAGCAGTGGAGGCAGAACCCAAGCTGGGCGAGTGGGCACAAGGAGACAAAGACCTTGCCAGATCTGGGAAGCCACCTCCTCCTCCAAAAAAAGTTATATCCATACATGGAATTCTATTCAGCAATAAAAAGGAATGGTTACTCATACACTGAGCGGCATGAATTACTTACAACCAAATGCCAAACTGAAGACAAAAAAAGCCAATACAAGTATATATGTTTATTTCCATCTTAATAAGATCATAGAAAATACACATTTAAGCGTCAGTGGCATAAAGTATATCAGTATTTGCAAGGACGCCAGGTTGGTGGTGTGCTCGATGACAAACAGATATGAGGGGTTATGAAATTTTATATCTTGATTGTGATTTTATTAACATGAGCTTATATAATTGTCAAAGTTAATGGAACTTTATTTTATACACGTAAAGACTAAAATTTTACTATAAATTATATGTCAATAAAATTTATTTAAATATTTTAAAGAAACAAAAAAAAATGAAAACAATGAAAAAGAAACATTGACAGATTGAGGAAGCAAACATTGCAGCTCCCGGAGAGTGGACACCATCTCATTTGTTTTATCCTCCGCCAGTTTAGCAGCTGTATGTGCCTGTCTCAAATCCATACCTAAAAAATATGAGCTGAATTGGTGAATGAAACCTGAAGGAGCTAAAGTTTAGCTAAGGCCATCTCAGATAGCACACTCCTTTAGGAAATTTGTCTTCCACATATGGTGCAACAGTTCCCTTGACCCACCCCAACCCTGAGGACCAACTCTCCTGCTCCTCTTTCTTGAGCATTCTGTGACATATCTGCACCACTAATCATACCTAACTTGCACACTCTTCTATTTGTATTTGTAACTCTCTGTGATTAGCGAATAAGTGTATCAAGGGGCAAGGCTGCACTTTTCCTTGAGAGTTTAGGGAGAAAATGAGGGAGCTAAAGGAAAGTAGAATTCCTCTTCTAGGTATGAAGCATTTACACGAAAAGAGAATTATCAATATTTCAAATGCCACAACAACATTGAGAAGGAATACAATGAGAAAAATTGCCAGCATGACAGTTAATCCAACTTAGATACGGTGTTTTGTTTTGTGTTTCGCTGAGCACATCGTGTGCTAGAAAGGCACATTTATCACGATTCTTTCCTCCAAAAACCTTTAAAATGTGGGGGGAAAGACCCAGGTAGCTGCAACACAGGGTGGGAACTGTTGCATGCACATAGCAGTTGAAGTGTTCTCTGGGTTCAGTATGGGTCAAGGAAGATCGCTGGAGGAAATGACATCAGAAGTAGGCTTTGAAGGTTGAGCGCTATTAAAAACATGGAGATTACAAGAAAGCCATTCTAAACTCTAACTTGGTTTATAGTAACAAATGTTTATTAGGCAGAAAGAGAAACAATTTAAATGGAGAGTAGAAGGGATGGCATCACTATGTTGTCTTGGGCTCTTGAGCTGCTGGGTTCTTTTTACAATGGGGGAGTCAGAGGGAAGAGTCTCATAGAATGTCCGGATATGAGCTGTGAAGGAACAGAAATGGGAGAAACCCTGAATAAGTCGGAGGTGATAACTGAGGATAAGATGGTGTAGCCAATAGATAAAAGCTAAAAGAGATAAAAATGGAATGTGAAATAAGAAACTGAGAGGAGAGGAGGAAATACAAAACTCACCAGTGCTTCTTAAACCATAACACAAGGACTATTAGACTCATCAAGGTCACCATCACTACTACCAAGGCAATCCAATTCATGGAAAAGTGGTGTCCTGCGCATATTAGAAAGATGCATGGATACCATTTTAAACTCACTGCTGATCCTACTCCATCTATTGATTTTCTTACTTGACATGTGCATGGGATGAGTTGCATCAATTATCCTATTTCAGTCACTCTGTTCCCAATTTACTCAAGGACAGATTCCTCACTTCCCCTTAAATCTCTAGTATCCATGTGTCCCTCGGGTCCTACTCCTCTATTTTTAAATTGCCCTATTCATTTCTTTCTACGATCCCTCACCTAAGTCTACTATCCTCAAAATTTCCTCTCCCCTACCCGCTAAGCTCAAGAACCACTACCGACACTCCCAGTCTTCAGTTTTACCCCAGTAGAGGATGATGTCCTTGCCTCCTAGACTGCTGTGTCTCACTCGACAAGACAGGCCAGCAGCCTCCTCAGATGCCACATCCAGGGTCACCTGAAGATACCATGTTCCATCAGCATTAGGAAGAATATCACCATATTCAGTGCCCAGTTGCTCCTGTTCATTTCGCATCCATGTTGCCCAAACAGGCTTTGGGTAGAAGCCAGAGACATGACAAGCCAGCAACAGCCGGCCAGACCCAAGGCTGGGGCGACTGGACAGCCAGGCCTCTGGCCTCACTGCAGAGAGCAGAAAAAGTATTCTGATGAAGAAACTTACATCCACATCCACACATCCACATTAATACGCAGTTATCTTTTTCCTGCCTCTAAGAAACTATCACCCAGCAATCCCTCTGTTCTTGTCTTCTTTCTTGTCCTAAGTTTGAAGGGTGGGAGAATAAGGGGCAGGACTTGAACAGAAAAATCCTAGATGAAGGAACTGAAACTACTGACCTTGCCTATGTAGATACATCTTCCCCGAGTCCAGGAGACCCAAGAGAAATCGGGGGCAGGTGCTTCTTAGGAGAGTATATACTGTTTCCTTAATGCCTTCATACTGATTCAGTAGATCACAGACACTTTGGGCCAAACTCCCACTGTCTGGAGATGGCACCCATGTAGTAGTATTTTGGAAATTCAGTAAATCTACTCCTTTGAAAGCTACCTGAAAGAAGCTTTTTGGGCTGTCTCCAGAATGCAGCTCACAGCCTGCATTCATCTGTACTTCGAAGGGATCTGGAGGAAGGGAGGAATGAGAAAAAGAGTTCAAACAAAAACGTGAAAACAACAACATAAACACCTAGGGCTGTATCAGGAAGTGAGGCAAGAAGGTTTTATATGGGTGTGAGAGTGAGCCAAAAATATATTTGATCAGAAACGAGAGAGAAAAATTGCTGGGGATAGGGAAGCGGGACAATAAGAGATAAATGCCTTGAATTAACAACACCAAAAAAAAGTGGCTGAGGAAGGTGTGGGAAAATGATAGGTGAGCCACATAATGTAGGATATGGGGTGAAGGGGGAGCCTGTGTGAGGGAGGGGGGAGGATAGCAGTTCATGCATGATGCATGAAATTAGTCAGAATGGTTGCTGAACTGTGGACATAGATCTTTGAATAAAGTGAATGAGGAAATAGATTTTATTTTACGGAAGTCAAGCACAGAGTGGGACAACTGCGTACCTCTGAATTGTGTTATACAGAGGGAGACCACAGGAGGAACACACCAAAGCACAAGAAAAAAATATTCCAAAAATAGCAAAAGCCCAGGAAATTTGAGGGAGTCAACATCTGGAATATTCCCCCAAAGGTTCATGTATGCAGAATTTTATGGTGGGATGGGCCAGAAATTAGGAGAGAATATTTCCCAGAAATAGAACATCCTGAAGAATTCCCATAATTTAGTTGATTGAACTTACATTCTATGGGATATTGACTGGCATGGGCTTGAATCTCCCGCATTAATCCAATGGTGTAGATACGAAATAACACGTTTAGGTGTAAGAACTCCTCATTGCTGAAGTTGGCCTTGGACCAGGTATGCAGGAAAATTATTCTGTTTGATTCACGCTCCCAGCCATGAGTTTGCAACTCATCCAGCCATCCTGAGCCCTGACATTGCGCCCAGGATTGGTTGACAAATGATGCGGTCTGGATAACATGGAATGAGACGTGTTCCGGGGCTGCTCTTGGTGGAAGAAGGCCAAGTTCTATAAGGAAAAAAAAAAGAGAGGCAAGAAAAATGGAGAGGAAATGGAAAGTGAACCAGTTACCACGGAGAAATGTTAATGACTACTTTTGCTATAGCATGTTCCTTACACAGAGCCCGATGCTCTGCCACCATCCTCCAAAACAGTAAACTACACCCAGAGACAGGTATGCTCAGATGGCAAGCATTCCGGCATCTTCCCTGATCCACCGTGGGAAAGCCCGCCATGGTCTACCCAGATACATGTAACCTTGCAGCTGACAGAGACGTTCTTACCGCCTGCATTGTCACCACCTGGGAGGAAAACAGCTAGCAACGGAAACTGCAGAAACAGCATGTCATTTGCAGATGTTCCTTTCTCTCAGCAAAGCTGTTTGCTGATCTCTGTTCTTAGTAAACTTACCCCTCTGTATGTATATTCTGACTTCCTTCTACCAACAGACCATCTTCCCCACAGGCCACTAACATCACCTAAGAAGGTCTGCTTCCCTCAACCTTGGGCCTCCTACTTGGTCTCTCATTTCCTCAACTGCTCTGAACTGAAGTTTTTCTCTTGTCTTAGGATTCCAGCTGCTCTCCCACTAAGCTCCTTCATATCTACTTTCTTTCCTCAACCGCCTTAGACAAAGTGTGTGGCATTGAAAAGTCACTTGATCCTCTGAACCTTGCATACCATTTGGAAGATATAAAGGAGAAACTGCATTCTTTTTCCAGTTCCTGCTTGAACAGATCACATTTCTTCCAGTTTCTCCACTTAACTTTGCCTCTGCTCTCCATAGTGTCCCCTCTTCTCATCACTCCATTCTTTGTTTGCCCCTTTTGGATGTCCTCAAAGTTTTCTCTTTCCAATTTTGCCCTTTTTGATCCATCTTTCTTATTTCCTTATTCTCACTGATTCTTTTATAAATTTGAGATCTTGCTTTTTTATATCTTCCAGGATTTCCCTGTGCAGCTGTATAAACTACAGGCTACTCTATATTAACCTTAGAGATAAAATTGTAGTCATTCAGATTCCATAGGTCCTTAACAAACATGAAGAAGCCCTTCTATTGCATTTGATCTGTATAGTAACTCTCTAAAAAATTACACAGTACATGGTTGGTACCAGTATCTTACTGGGCATATAAACATACAGAGATTAACAATGTAATCTCTTCTATCAAAGAGTTTTAAACTGCAGAAGACATTTAAACAAAAAATTAAAATGCATTGTGATTTTCATTTCAATGTGTAGAATACCAGATTTAAATCTACTTAGAATGTATTCTCTAGAGAAGCATTTTGACAGCCTGGGAAATTCATAATTTAAAGTCCTGGAATAATAGTAGGCATTTCAACTAAGGACTAAATTCTGTACTGTATGGAATTGTATAGGATTATGGTAGTCAGAACATGCCACTTTTCAAGAGGACTCATACATGGGGGACCACAAAAATCTATATTTAAGTTAAATTTGGTGATCTGATCAAAATACATTGTATAAAAAGGGAAACATTTGTCAATATTTGATTTAAGTAATTTATATGAAGTATTCAGTGATTTGTCAGTGACCCTGGCTGGTTAATATGTGTTAACCACAAAATGACCACAAAATCTTTTTGAGATCCAGGAAGTATATTTATTATTATAGTGTTTCTTAAATCATATTAATTATTCACTGAATGCATTGGAGCAGACACTTAAAGTCTGAGCATGAATTTGTGCTGAGCATGAATTTGTCCTGGGCACAGTGGCTCATGCTTGTGATCTCAGCACTTTGGGAGACCAAGCTGGGAAGACCATTTGAGCCCAGAGGTTTGAGACCAGCCCAGGCAACAAAGTGAGACCTTGTCTCAACAAAAACTAACAAGTTAGCTGAACGTAGTGGCACACATGGGTAGTCCCAGCTACATGGGAGGCAGAGAGGTAGGAGGATCTTTTGAGCCCTGAAGGTCAAGGCTGCAGTGAGCCATGTTTGTGCCACTGTGTTCCAGCCTAGGTAACAGATCAAGACCCTGTTTCAAAAAGAAAAATCCCATTTGTTACATTGTTTCTTTTTCAGATTAATTTTTATTCTACATATTTACAGTGTAAACATGATGCTTGGATATACACATTATTTCTTACTTAGATTTGTCCATGTTAACAGTGAGGCTGGAAGTCGTTCTCAGTGAGCTCTTCCTATCATGGCCACAAATATTTGGCAATTTCTATGAGCTACAAAATCTTTTAGAGCAATACCCAGTTCAAGCCCTACCCAAATCATAAGCACCAGGTGTCAGCTTTGTCCATCTTGTGCTGTTAATGGCAAATACTTGGTTTGTGATTTTAGAAAACAATAGCCGATACCATACTATGTGCTTGTCACATTTTTTCCCCCATGGGCCTACAGGAAATATGCAAACCTCCTATTTCCTAATGGTTGGGTTAAGGTCATGGACTGAGCTCTGGGCAATGGAATGTGTGGTGCTGGAAGCATGAGTCAGCTCCAATCCTGACCACTGAAAATACCACATCTGATCATCTTGCCTTGCAGTACCAGCTTGGTGGTCAAATTTCCAAATGGCAAGGCTATGAGATGGAGAGGAGCAGCCTGATCTACATGCAGTTTACCTATATGAGAAATAAATCTTGTTGTGTTAAGCCTCCAAGTTCTAAAGTTCATGTATAACTGCAACGTAACCTAGCTGTATTGGATAATATTATAAAAACCCAGTAAGTATCACCCTTTTTGCCCTCCTGAATTCAGAAGAAAACAAGATGAAAATAACATGAGGCAGATGGATCTAGTGGTCAGTCTTGACTTCTGATAATGCCACTAGATAATTTGCTTTAAGTGTGTAATCCAAGTGATCTTGTTCGTACTGGACCCTAAATGGAGGAGCCTTCTCAGTGTTATGGACTGAAAGTTTGCACACCCTCCCAAAGAAAAAAACTTCACATGTTGAAGCCCTAACTCTCAGTGCGATTATATTTGGAGATGTAGCCTCGAAGAAGTAATGTCAATCTCATGTCTATAGGATAGGGCGCTGCTCCAATAAGGTTGGCGTCCTTATAAGAGGAGACACTGGAGTGCTCTTCCAGGTCTCTGCCTCTGTGTGTGTGTGTGTCTGTGTCTGTGCACACACGCACGCACGCACACATGTGCACGTGTATGTATGTCTGTGTGCATATACCACGGAAAGGCCGTATGAGCACACAGTGAGAAGGCGGTTGTCTGTACAAACCAGGAAGAGAGCCCTCATTAGAAATTGAGTCTTCCAGATGGAGACTGTGAACTTCTACCCTCTGGAGCTGTTAGAAAATACCTTCCTGTTGTTTAAGCCACCCAGCTTATTGCTTTGTGTGAGAACAGTCCGGGGAAACTAATACACTACTTAGTTCCGGCAATCCTGATAAAACCCTAAGTTTCCCCATCTGAGCGGCTGTTCCCATGAGAGCTAGGTCCTGGAGGAGGAGAGCAAGACCGAGCCATCAGGGAGCAACTGGCCCACAGAGGTAAAGGGCAGGAGGAGGTGCTGACATAAACTTGCCCAGTTTCCCTCCTGAATTTATCAGTGAGATAAATCACTCTGTTTTCAGAGGAAAGATTAAGGGGTGAGGCAAGAAACAAAAAGTATTTAGGGGAAATTCCCCGACAGAACCTAGAAGAGTGAGTACCACTCCCACCTTTGTCATGGCAATACCCATCCAAATAGACACCTAGAACCGTGTCTTCTCTGGAAACTTCCCTCTCCTTTGCTCCCCACAGTCACCACGTCATTTCTCTCCCTCCACCTGGTTTTTCCTCCCTGACCTGACTGATATGCAGTCCTGCTTTCATCATGTGACACACATGATGAGCAATCACGGCCACAGTCCCAGCCTGTGTGCCACAGTCCATGACGCTGCACACAGCACTCTGCCCCAGAGTTGCCACTGGAAATGTGATCCTGAGAACATCTATCTCATGCCTAAAATATTCCAATTGCTTTCATGAAAAATAATCCAGACTCCTAAGTATGACAGTTTTATACACAAGAGTTTACATATATCAATCCCCAAGAAGGAAGGGTGGAGGTAGTGTAAGAAGGAAAACTGGCAGACTCTTCATTCTGGTGAGTACTTGTAAATATAGATGCAAGAATCTGAAATTGATATAAAATGCAACGGGGAGAAGAGTAAGAGGTTATGAATCTCTCTGAGCACACAAAATCGTAAAAGAATAATCTGAAGTGGGTGGGACACCCCGTAATTAGAACCCAGCCTGAAGAGAGGGGCTGGGCTGTCCCCAAGGAGCCCAGTACTTTTCCTGTCACCAGCCTTCCTCAACTTCCCTTTTCTTGTCCTTTTCCTCAGACCAAAAATGTTGCGTTTGCCTTTGCCTGGGCTCTTCTTGCCTGTCACCTCCCTAAGACCACTCCAGTGGATGACTTTTGCACCCCGAGAGAGAGAGAGCTTTCCTCAGAACTCTGAAATCACGTCCCCACCCAACATAGTCTCACACTGCTCTGTCATCACTTTCCCTCCAGCACAAACCTTGCCCTGTGCCTACTTCCCTATTAGAGAAACCCCTCAAGCCTTCCACAACCACATGACTCTTACAAGGCCTTTCATTTCCCCCTCGACTCTTATTCAAATGATTCACTCCCTCTTTCTGGCCTACAAGCATAGTTCCTGTGGCTAGCCTATATCCTCCACCCACTCCCACCTACAACAGCAAAAAGGTCACAGCAGTTTTCATAGCTCCTAGATGGACCACTTACTAGAAGCACCAATCCCCCACTGTAAAATGACAAAATTGGAAAAAATGGATATTTTCTAATTCCATTTCAACTTTATTATTCTTTGACTTGGCCGGTGCTTCTGTTCATTTCTGTTTACATAGAATTTTCTTTCTCCTCTCTGCTTCTTTTTCTTACTGTCATACTTTTTTATGATTTCATATTGCTTTCTACTTACCCTTTGTTTGAGTTCCCTGGGTCTCCTCTCTATCTTACCACCAATTCTACCTAAACTCCCTGCCCATTCATTCTAAGCAGCACCCTGACTAAATTTTGAAGCCTAAAGTATTGCCTTTCCCCTGATCCTTAGATTTCTGTGTGTAAATATATGAACCACAGATAAGACATTAATATCTCAAGATAAAATACAAAAAAACAAACAAATTACAAAACACATAGATCTACTGGGTAAGCTATACTTTTAAAAATTATTTATACTTGCATACATTAAACTCACAAGATAAGAAAATCGGCAAGAAACAAAAAAATAAGAAACTAAAAACTAGATAGGGAAATAGAAGCTAACACTTGAGCTTCGCAAGACATTGACAAGAGTCAGTTCCTGAGGGCTTTGACCACAGTATCCACATAGGTCATGAAATCATGTTGACTCCATCAAATAAAAGTGCAAGTTGAACGAGAAATCTTCTACTGTATCCTCAGTAAAACTAGCCGGGGGAAAAAAAACTGAACCAAAAGACAGGAAGGAATCCTGTGGTCACCTTATGCTCTGGATAAGAG